GAAATGGGTGAAATATGCAGTGCCAACAGTAAGGATGGGTAAATCTGCCTTTGGAGTAGGGAAATTTACCTGCAGTCACACCATGGGCAGGGACTAAGTTTGCCACAGCAGCTTATCTGGATTGCCTGCTGCCAGGGGAGCATCTGCTTGGAGCACCTGTGCAGCATCCAGAAGCTATTCTGGCCAGCATTCTGACTTGTTACTCACAAGGACCCTCAGCCAAGGAACGTGAGAGAATCTGCTATTACAAAAGAGAAATTAATTACAGAAACATCACATGTCTGTAGCTTTAGTTTTTATATTGTTTTTACTCCAAGGAGATGTTTACAAAGAGTTTCAATTACTATCTGCAAAAGCACTGATCTTCAAGACACTCTCAAATAACTAATTATTGTCAGATTTTATACAGACAAAAAGAATATTATAGGAAAAAGCTAGAGATAAGACAACCAATGGAGAAATATCTGAAGATTACCCTAGAAATTTACACTTATCCTTTTAAGTGCTTTTAAATGTGTTTAGTGCTTCAGGGAATAACCTATGTGAAGAAGCTGTTGTAATGCTGAATTAGTGAGAGAGTCAGGTCTTAAACACTTGGCACAATGCAAAAGTCCAAGTCGAAATGCCACTTACAGTGCAAATAATCAAAGAACAGTAGCTCCATTTTCCCTAAAGAATAAGCTCTAGACTTGGTTACAGTGGTTAGGGGATGTCTTCTCTTCTTGATGTTTTACTTTCCCCTTGCTTGGTTTTTGTCTCTGTCCCGAGCTGTAAGAAAGAACTGCATGAGTACTTTAGTGCTTGATTCCATAGAAGTATTAAAGATGAAATATGCTACACCCCTGAAAGAAAATCTAAGCACTGGTTACTGACCCATTTTAATGGGAGGTTTCTTTATTTGGTTTGGGCACAGGTCTTTGCAGCTATCTTTTATTATGCATGGAAGCTTATGTTTGAGAAAATCTCACCCCTCATTAGTAATATCTTCATTTCTACCTCACCATAAGTAGATATGACAGACGGGACTGTGTTTTTATAATCAGAGGGAAGGTGTAGGTGAGTTCATTAGCAAGAAATGTGCCCTAGTCAACAGGGAGGCTGGGAAAATGGTGTATCAAAAGCGAAGATGTTTGTGAGAAGTTTGGTTGAGTTCTGTTTTTGTCCATCACTACTCAACATTTTAATGAACTAGAGACAGTTCTTTAAATTTTCAGGTAACACCATGGTTAGAGTGCTGTGATCACATCTCAGAAGGGTTTTGAATTGTAAAGAATCTCAATGAATTAAACATTTGAGCTGATAAAGGGTGGTGTAACTCAACAAAGACGAGTCCAAATTTCTGCTTTCTCAGAAGCAATGAGATGAATGGCACAGGTAGCGAGGGGCTAAATAGGCAGGAATTTGGAAGAAAGGTATCTGGGGGGTATAGTTAGTTGCAAAGTGAACATGAGGCAACAGTCATCCTCCACTGGCAGAGAGAGTGGGGAAAAGTACTATTAAGGATAAGATGAGGAGAAATATAAGGAAGATGCACAAAGCTGTGACAAACCAGCTCAAGAGCCGTGTCAACAGCAGAAAAGTTGGCCGCCAACTGGAGGAAGTCCACCAAAGAGCAGTATGAGTTCTCAGGGATGCAGCAAATAAAGTTTAATGGTGCAAGACTGAGCCTAAAGAACGGGAGACTGAAGAGTCAGGAAAGAAATATTTTGGTGCTGCCGAACTGCTGTGAAAGAAGGGAACAGCAATGTGCAAATAGCAGTGAATAAGTTTCTGATTTGAAAATGGGAAATGCTTTCTGATGGTAATGAGAGTGAACTGCAGGAATAGGATGCCAGTTTTCAAGAGCAACTGGGAGAAACATATCCCAGCAATGACACTGGAGAGGCTGATTCTGCCTCAGGACAGTGGTAAGAAGTTCACAGTTTTCAAATTCTTTTCAGCTACATACTTCTATGAGTCTACAATGCTTCAAAGTGTTTTGCATGGAGCAAAATGAAAGAGAGGACAACCTGGCTTCAGATTTCTCTTGGTTATGTTTAGTGTCAGGTGGTACAGCTTTGTTATTGGTACAGCAGTAGGTGTCCTGGCTCATTCTCATGGACGGTGGTGTGAAATGAAAGAAAATATAAGAAGCTTGTATTCTGGGGAGGAGTTTCTTCTGAAGTTAATTGTGGCTGCATTCTGACATGGGATGAATATTTGGAATCTCACCACTTCTAAAGTGGCTTTGTCATGTGCTCTGAATGTCACTGCTCCCTGTTGGCTCCAATTTTTGTGTGTCTGTTGGCAAATGTGTTACTAGACTTCATAGTATGTAGCCTGGATAAACAAAGGTAGCTGTCAAATGAGAACTTGGTTCAAGCTGCAGCTTGATTTGGCAATTAAATTTCTGTAAGTCTGTTTTGTGGGAACATGAACTGCACAGTTCCTACAGGGGAAAGAAAAAGCTAAGAATAGTGCTACCAAGAATGTGGCTTTGGTGGTTTTTCTTAGTAAAGAGATAGATGAGCAAGATGCAGCCTGTAAAGGGGAAGAAAAGGTGGGTGGATAGGTATAGTGGAGAAATTGAAAATTCCAGGTGGGATCTGGTGGTTTGGGCATATGGAAAGGTAGACTGGATTGGCTAACTCTTAATCACCAAAGACAACTTTGTACTTTAGCTGCAGCAGGAATTACTATCTCAGATCATATTTTTTTGAGCTTCTTCTCTTATATATGTCCTATAATTAAATTTCAAGAAGTTATCAAGGACTCTGTCAAATATGTTAAATAAACTTCTGAAATATGGTGCTTCCATCTTCCAGCTGTAGTGCAGTGCCTCTGGTGTTTCATATCAAAGACTGTCAGGCATTTTTTGGGGGACATGGAAACAACTAGCTGGAGGAAGACATTTCAACCATTTTTGTTAATATTGAAGAGTTCTACGAAATCAGGTCTAGATTTTCCTGGAATTTCACAAAAGAAGGACAACAGTAGAAGAGTTTAACATTCTTCTGGTAAGATACTTGAATTATTTTATGAAATTTTAACTAACTCCTTAACCTCTCCCCAGCTGATCCCTGAATATTGCAGTAAAATATATAACCTTGGAATGCTTTGCTTTTGTTGATTCCAGAATCTTCACATGACTGGAAACCAAATGTTACCACAAAACCTGCCTTATTCAAGAAGTAGTAACTTGAGCAGCCTACTCCAGCCTGATAGGAGACAGTTCTTGCACAACTCTACTTGAAAGCTTCCTCACTTCATGGCTTTTCATCATGAAGATCAAAGGGAAGAATTGAAGTTGCCCTAAAAAGCTTTATTTTGAACCCAGTGGTGAGAAGCTTCCCAAGGCCTCCACCAAGTAGCTCCATCCAAAGAATGAGGTTCCACCTCCTGCTGCCTTCTGTTCCTCTGTCACTGCCCTATGACATCCTCACTGCCTGCAATTGCTCATTGAATATGATCAACAGGAGACTACAACACAGCTCCCAAAAACATTTAATCTGACAGAGTATGGACCTCTGTTCTCACACAACTGTTCCTGAAGTGGCAGAGTCTCTGTGCTGCCTTTTCTCTGCTGTGTGCAGAGCTTAATGCAGAAGAGCTGTGCACTATTTCTGCTGTGGTTGTTGCTTAGCAGGTTGCCATGCTCTGCACAAAGAGCAGTTTCCCAAAGATGTGATGGGATTAGTGTGGGCTGCCAAACCTGAAAGAAGAATTCCCATAAGAGAACGGGATTAGTTGACAGTTGTGATGTGTCATTTCCACCTCTTCTTTGCCAGTACTATCTGAGCTGTTCATTTGCAATAAGCTCCTCCCAGAGGAGAACTTACAGCAAAGCTGGTAGAGGAAAGCACTGTTTAGTTGTTTCACTGGTTACAAAGAATCAGCTCCAGCCCAGAGATCTCCATAACAAGGGACTATGTGGAGCTGATGCAGTTACTCTCCAATCACATCATCTTTGAAGTAAGTGCACCTAAATTCTAGAAGAAAAATGATCTAATTCTCTTGCACCTGGGGATTGCTGCTTCTATTTGCTGACAAACGATTGCTGAAGACACTTAGCGAGACGAAGCAGGTCCCCTTTGCCTCCAAGCAGTGAAGCCAAATTTAGGGTGTAACTTCATATTATCTCTGCTATGTTCCGCTAAGCTTGCAGTCCTGTCAATCAAGCAACTGCAGTGGTCTGACCCCTTATTTCTTCATAATCTTGTGCTGTTTATAAACCAAATCTGTATTACTGTTAAGTTTAATGCTGTTAGTATCTTCCAATTTATTCCACTCCAGATAAATCAGAAATTTCCAGAGGTCTTCATCTGCCTGCAGCCTTCCAAGGTTAAACATAGCACCTTGCTTCAGGGAGGGCTGGCAGATTTTGAAGTCAGTGTGCATGTACTGGGGTGTTTCCAGGCTCCCTGAACAAGTTAGTTATTCTCCAGTGGGAGGAACAAAAAGGCTATAGAGTAAGTCTGAAGACTGAAGCCTTGATATACAGGAATGCAAGAGAAAGAGGTAGCTGACTGCAAGTTGGAGCTGTAGGTTCCCTTTGCAGCAGCATTTCTATCCTGGTATCCCAGATATTCAAACATGGTGTGGCAGTTTGAGCCACATTAGAAATCCAAAATCCAATTTCCAGACTTCCCCCCATCCCTTCCCACAATTTATCCCAACACTGGAGAGAAACTTTCAGGCCAGAGGCTTCTATAGGGGAAGGGGGAAGTATATACATTTATTTACACAAATAAATACTATACAAACTAAAGGCAACTATATACATATATTACATTTCTATCAGTCCTTTTAAGCCCCTCCCTTTAACTTTAGTCCGGGAAGAGCCTTTCAAGGCTGTTGGGTAACACAGTCTCTCTCTTGTGGGAGGTGTTCTGGGCCCCTGAACGCTCCTTAACCAACCTTCAGCTGTTTGCTGCAGTCTTTCTCCTCACGAAGTCCAAGAAAGTAGCTTTGAGTCCTTTCTCCTCAGTCTGCTGTGTGATCTCTCTTTCTCAGTCTCATACCTCGGTTCGTGGGCTGCTGCAGCGCAGTTCAGCTTATCAAGCGTCCTCCAAGTCAGTTTTCGGCTGCCCCCAGTCAGCTTCGGCAGTGTCATGGTTTGAGATAGTCCCAAAATCCAATCCCCTAGTCTAAGCCCCCTCCCACATCTCAACCTAATGTGAGATGGGTTTTTCCAGACAAAACACACCAGACTCCAAAGTGGGGGAAAGGGAAATATATTACAATGACTGTACAAATAAATACCATATCACATTATACACATGATCACAACTATCTCTACCATGACATATAGTATTTACAATGATCAGATCTCTTCTCCCCTCCAAATAAAAGTCCAGGAGGGAAAGAAGGACAGATCCCTTCCAGTCTTTAAGCAGCAGGATCTTCTAATGCAGCAGGTTTCTCCTCATCTCATGCATGCAGCAGCTGATAGCTGGCTTTCTGCCAGCGTCCACGAGGGAGGTATCCAAGCCTCTCTTGGCCCCATCGCCTCACAACCGAGGGGTCTTCCGTGGGCTTCGTAACCCCAGACAAGGTCGTTTCACCACGTCATATCACGAAGACACAGGGGGGTCTTTGTGACGGTCTGGTATCTCTTGCAGGGCCTCTGTACCCTGTCTCTCAGGCTGCCACTGTGGCAGCAGTGCGAGGGGGGGGAGCCAAGGTCAACTCCTCCCGCATTCCATCTGGCCGTCCCGGTCCAGCTCCAGGACGCTCTGAGCTTCTCAGCTCCTCTCTCTCTCTGGTGCTGCGTGTCCAAAACTGCTCTCCAAAATAGGAGTCCATGTCCCTCTTCTCCAAGAGGGGTCTCAAGGGAGTTTTGGGGATCTGGTATCAGTCTTACCCCCAAGAACTCTGTAGCTCTCAGCTGCTGGCTCTCCTTCCCTTGGCTCTCCCTCCAGGAGTCTCCTCTGCGGTGCTCCATGTTGCTTCTGCAGCTCCTCCAGTTCAGGTCCTTATCTCTGGCTCTCTGCCACCGTTTCTCTGGTCAGTGTCGGCTGCTGCTCTGTGCCCATGGAGAAAACATCTCCCGGCTTAACTACAGACGCTTAGTCCAGTCTAAGACTGTTCCAAGTCTCTGCAATCCCCCCAGCCGGGGCTGGGAGGGGGCCAGAGGCCCCAAGGGGCTCAGAGCCCCTACCTCGTGGCTCTACAACATGGCCACCTCTTCTACAACAACCAAACTACAACTCTTCTTTTCCGGTCTGGTTGTGGTATGTTTACATTTCTGCAGGAGCGCCCATTGGGCAGAACTTCAAAACTTCCAGGGGTTTCCACCCCTTGGGGTCTACCACTTCTCTTAGCCTCTGGGGAAAACAAGGTCCAAACCACTACAGGCAGGCAACTCCCGAGCTCTTGGCCCGTCTCCAATTTCACCTGGGATTCTTCTCCCGAGCGCCAAGCTGTTTTATTATCAGCCCATCCACTTGGCTCTGCTTAAATGCTAAGCCTCTCCTCCACTTTACAGTAGAGGGAAAGAAAAGGCCCCCCTCCACAGCTTAACTGCAAAAAGGGGGGGGAAGAGGGCTTGGCTGCAAAGCCTGCCTCTCTCCTCTTACCTCAGGTGCTGTGAGTCACGTCCCTCACAAACACTCACTCCAAATGCTGCCTCCAACTCTGTCCTAGGCAGAGTTGGTGGGGCTGCATGGCTCCCCTTCCCACCCCTCCCCCCGGAGGGGGGAAGAAGGAGCCCAGCCACCCCCGGCCCTCTACACCTACACACAGCAGACACCACCAACAAAAAAACTGCCAGCAGCTTCCAGTGCTGTGTATATGGCATTTGGAGCAGAAGCGAACAATACGAGTGGTGATTGGCTCTCCAGGGAACACTGCCCTGGCACCCAGTCACCTCTGAGCCCCCGACTCCCGGGGGGCCATCTCAAACCATGACACATGGGAGCTCAGACACCCTGTGGTGTGGACCACAACTCTCTGACTGACTTACCACTGCAGGCAAGAGCCAGGGCTTTTCTCTGTGGCAGCTGGAGCCTGTCAATAGTTTATTTCAGTGAAATCTTTTTCTTGGAGGGGGGAAGGGGAAGAAAATGTGCAACCTCTTTTTCACTCACACAAAGAATATCTGTTTGAAGCTCTTCAGCTTCACAGAGGTTAAGCAGGACCATGGCTGTACGCTTCCTGTAGCATATCCTGTAGTCTTGGCACCATATTTACTGCAAGGCACTCTGAAATCTGGATCCCTCAACAGTAGCACTCTCACCAGGGTTCCTTGTCTACACATCAGGGTTTCCCTGCAAAATCCAGAGTTTGGTATGCTTATGTCTCACTGGGTTCACTTGAGGTGTGGGAATCTGGATTTCAGATCCTTTTCTGAGTGAGCCAGAAACAAGACTTAAACCTCAACCTGTTGCTTTTGTGGTAATTATTTTAAACAAAGGTTCAGACTGCAGTATTATGACTTTTTGTCTCAAAAATATTGGTCCAGTTTTTATTCTGATATGGGATGAAAATGTTTGATGTTTTAATGGAATAGGCTTTCTACTTGACTGCCCAAGGGAGGTGGTTCATGATGTGGCTTTGTAGATCAGCTAGATGGTGAGAAAGAGCTACCAGGCCCTCAGACAACTCCATGTCAGTAATTAATATTTCAGATAAAGATTATAACCTCCTTCCTGCTTGTTACAGTCCTGTTGTCTCTCCTTTGCAAGTAGGGATGATGTAGTCAGGAAAAGGTGTTGATTGCTAATGAGACAGGGTAATTCTCTCTAACTTCTGATTCCTGAAATACACTTTTTTTCTTTCTCACTAGTTTCATATTTTCCCTTCTCTGCAGCTCCTAAAGACCTGAGCCTCTGTTTGGCAAACTCAGCAGGTGGGAAAATGAAAGTATGCAGTGGCCTTTCAGAAGGGACCTATGTGGCCTGCAGTACCTCTGGAAGACTCTCTTCCACTGAGATGTCAATGAGGGTGCAGATATGAGATAATGATAAAGATAAATGGGGTCACAGCTCATATTGGCTTACATAGAAAACATCAAGTTATCAAGTCATAATTCCCATATGAAAATACGTAAGTAAAACTTCATCAGTGCTCCCTTTCTTGATTTCTCTTCACTTTTCCCCACAGTTTTATAAAACTGATTAGTAAAACAAATTTGACATGGTTTCTTATTGTTGTCTTATATATTTATTGAGGTTAATGTCATGAGAAACTGATGTCTTGGTTAGAAATCATGTCCCTTGGAATGTACTAATGCAGACAGTAGGAATAATGGGAAAGGAATATATATGAAAGGCCTGGCCCTTGAAAAGGCCTGGACTAATGAAAGCTTGGACTGAACTATGTTTCAGCTACCAAGGAGTGAAAGAAACCCACCGAAGTTTGGGTGTCCATTTTCTTTTCAGTGAAACGTAATAAAAAGGAAAATTTTACTTTAACCAAATGTGTTACTTTAATCTCAAATGAAATATTCTCTTTTGTACACTGTAAAAATACTTAAACAGTTTGTTTAAAAATTATCACCTATCTTTTTTGGCTAACACTAGTTCACTTGACTTATGAACAGTTGAATTTTGATCATCTCTGAAACTGTTTTGTTGCAACTCCATTCGTAACCACACATTCTACCCATTAGCTCTGTTTCCGTGGTCTCTGAAAAAAAAAGGGCAGAATCAAAAAACCAAGGGGCTGCCTACGGCAAAAGTGGTTGCAGTAATTTACAATGATGTTGAAGTTCCATTGTATAAATTATGTAAAGAGATACAGATTTTCCTTTGAGCCAGATGAGGCCTTGGTATTGCTGTCATCCTGCTTCATCACCCCATGGAGAATTTGTGGTCCCAGCTCCTTGACAATGTTTTAGGTACTTCTACATCAAACTTTCTGGCTGCTATGCCTGCTTTTACAAAGCAAATCTTCTGTGTATAAGTAGTCAGCAACTGGGGTAAAAAAGCAGGATTCCGTCTATGTTTCAGTAAAAATAGTCCAATATAATTAACATGGAAAAATGTAATAGTACAGAGCACTGGGTTAAACAATAGCAAAACAAGTCATGCCTTAAATGGAAACAGTCCCCATGACACTGCAAGGAGAATGATCTGGCAGCAATTCAAAAAGCACTCAAAACACTAGAACTATGCTCCATGGGTTCAATACCACATCCTGCCTCTCCTTGCAAAGCGTCACCCAGCACCCAGTGCCACATGGGGCAAGGCAGGGCATGCTTTGCCAGGGTTATATGTGCTGAACTCTTTTGCAGCTGGTTTGTAGCACCAGGTTAGGTCACTAGATGAGGATAGTGATCTGTGATATGGGGGTAATAAGAAAACTTGCTTCTGAAGGCCTGCTTTTTTTCTAATTATCTTCCTCCTTTTCATGCATGTGGAGGTATTGGTGTCCAAAGGTGAAGGAAATCCTCCTTTGCGATAAAACTTCCTCTTCAAGACCAAGCTCAGTCTGTTACTTTCCAAACAGAAATGAACAGAGTTGAGTGCATTTGAAGAAAGAGGGTAAATTTGTGTGGCAAAACACAGATCTGCACTGGATGTGAAGCAAACAATGACACTAGCATTCACTAGCATGTAAGGTGTCTTCTCTGTGGAAGGCACTCCAGCCATGTTGTGACCATGGGTTGAGTCCATGAGGAACTTATAATAAATTTCATTGAGCCTAAGAGTGGAGAAGAGCTAGAGAGCAGATTAAGATTAGTGGAGCTGCCCTTCCTCCCCAGTGCACCTCTCAGCTCCATCGTCTTGGTGTGATAGGAAAACTTCTTTGTCATTCTGGTGGAAGCATCTCCTCTCCATCTTTGAGCTCTGCAGAGAACCCTATCATCTCCTCTCTTTAGCTGGATTTTTTCAACAAGCAAAAGCAACATGTCCAGTTTCTCAGTCTCTTTGTGGGACAACCACTTAGTGTAGCAATGGCAAAGTACCACAGCGTCAGTTCTCCACTGTCATAAAAGCACTTTGCCTACAAAGTCCTGCAGGTGAGTCTTAGCAGACCAGAGTGCTGACTGCCAAAAGCAAGGCTGCAGTGGAACCCGTGCTTTACTCTCTCCATGATTTTTCATGAAGCAGAAGGATTGTTGCATCTCTGATAGCACTTCAGACACTTGCTTTTCTTCCTGAGCTGAGT